AGGAGGTTGGATGTTTGAGGGCAATTTCTACATCAACCATCTGTTTTGCTCTATTGTGGTACATAAGTCAAAGCCCACAATTGTGTCTCTTCTCCTTCCCCTCTTCCCTTTTCTCCCTCCCTCCCCCCACCCCACCCCCAATTTAGCTGTACTGGCTGATGCATCTTTGGGGTGGAGCCATGGTTTTACTTATTCCATCCATGCTAGAAAATAAGGATCAGTCCAACTGCTTTGCTCCCTGTACCCTCTACCCAGTACAGGATTGGGTGATGCATGTAGCTCACACAAGGGAGCAAGTTGATTCTTTATATTCCCTTATTTCCTTAAATAGACACGCTGTGCTGTCTTTCATCTCTTTGCAGCTTTCTGCAGTGCACATCTTGTAACCCTTTTTCCTCTTGGCACAGAGTTTGTTTTTTGTTCCTAAATCCTCTCTATATAATAACGATGTTATTTACAGGCAAAGTACTTTAACTTTTCTATGCCTATTAGTATCCAGCGTGATAGCAGGAATTTGTAACTTCCTAATGATGTTCCTTTTTCAGCTCCTCTGTGAAAGAGGAACAACAGAATTCAGAAGAAAAACTTCCCTAGGGTGACAGCCTTGGCAGCTAACTGGAATGTTGCATCTCAGAGCTTCTTTTGTCCATAGCAAAGAAAGAGAAAGCAGACTTTGAAATGGAGTCACTTAACTCCTCTGGGAAGAGGAGACAAAAAAGAAAAACTGCAGCAGTTAAGCAGTGGTACCAAAACTAGAATATGCGTTGCATTCAGTACAATTACAAAGAAAAGATACTTAGGAGTTTTTACTGATTTGAGTACGAGTATACAATAATGTTGCAGCTGGACCAAAGGAAGCTGTTTATCCAATCCTATTCAGTTTCTGTGTTTCCAAACCATGCTAAATCAGTAGACGTATCTGTGCAGATCAGAGACAAGATATTTCATACCCTAAATCAAACAACAGAAAAGTTGTAAAAATGTTTTTGACCTGGTTGCCATTGTTGCACAGAATGATGTTACAAGAAAAATGTTCCAAAATAACAAAATAAGAAATATTCTTCCTGTTCTTATCTGGGAGGTAATATGTAATCTTATTGATTAATATGCTAGGCTGTGAAACTAAAAGGCTCTCTGCTTGTTAAGTATGGGTGTTTGTGAGTTTTGGTATTGGCAAATGCCTTTTCTTGCCCTTTCCTGCAGTAGATTACATATGCAAAATATTCCATATTTTTCTGAAATCTGTTATCCAATACTTATGGGTAAACTACGTCCAAAAAGGTTTGATTGAGAGCCTTTTGTTCATTTCAAGAATTTACAGGAAATCAGAGTTTAAATTGCAGTTATGCTCACAAAAGCAATTCTATCAAAATGTCACTTTCTTACTTTACAAATTAGCATGTTCTACTTTAGAGATATGCATGATCTGAAACATTTGGTGCAAAAAGCCTTCAATTTTTATTAGAAGGTTTTTGGCACTTCCGTTCTATGGGAGAATAAAACAGATTCTTCTTATTTCTATGCTGTAATCAAGTGAATGGTAACTTTTTGCTATTTCAGCAGCTGGAAATATTTTTTTTTTTGTCTTCTAAGCAAGTAGGTATTGGACAATCAGTCTTTTCTGCAAAAAAAAAAAAATCATTTAGCTAATCTCTCTCATAATTGTATGGCACAACTGAATCTTGATAGGAATTAAGAGTCTATTGTAAGTGCTGTTAGAATATAGTATCAATTTAAGGAAACAAATATAAAATTTCCAAACATCAATCTTGTTTTCAGAGCAATATTTAAGGGACCTCAATTTAGAACAGCCCAGGAAAAACACACTGGTCTTCTGAAGCTATTCTATATCAGTCCCTGTCCCTAACAGTGACACCACTGTCAATGCTCAGTATTTTTCACCTGCCTACAGGCTGTCTGCCCAGAATGGAGCGGCTTGTTAAATTGGCTGCTCAGAATGATTTTGTGGATTGTGAAATATGGCTTCATGAACCACTGTTAACAACCAGTGCTCAAAATGAAAGTGCAAATTAAAGTAGGAGTAGAGTTTTGGTATTTTTTCTTTTCATGTTTTAGTTTGACATTAGTTGGTATGTTACTGTCAATAGTATGAGTCTTCCATGGAGAACAGGAAGGAAGACTTGAATTTTTTAAGTAGTTTTTAACAAGAAAACCCAATAAGCATTCACCAGATATATATGACAACCAGTTTTAGCTGAATTTCATACTCATTTTTAGAGAAACTACAGAGACTGGAAAGTGATTATTTTAATTAGGACTGTGTCCCAAAACATCTATGCATTTTGAGGAAGTCTTTGAAAGTAGTAAAATCTGAGAATTGCACATACTCACAATGGTTTGAGGGGGAAAAAATTATATATGTATATATGTGTATATATACATATATACATATATATATATGTATATATATGAAACCCACACAAGGGTGTTTGGTGCTACACTAGTGCTAGCTGGTCCATAGAAAGAGAAATTTAGATCTTTTTTCCAGAGAAGAATTCTTCTACCTAACACTTTGAGGCTATTTATGATATGTGTCCATTTCATACTAAAAGTGAAGCTTTGCTAGTCTGAAGTATGAAGCATTCTCAGAGCGTCAGATTTTTTTTTTTTTTGCAGTTTTTTTGCAGACAAATGAAGGACCCTCCTTTTTGGCAGATAATATGCAGAATTTTCACAAAGCAGCAAAATCCCTTTTATAACTTTTTTGTGAAGAAAGCATGAGCAGCTGGGTGGGGGCGTGAAGAGTGAGGAGTTTGGTACAGAATGTCTTGAGGATGTGAATGATCATATTTGTGAGCAAGAAAAGGCAAAGTCTTCTCTCCGAGGAGAGCAGAAAATGGAATCCATACCAAAGCCTGTTAAAACATTTGAAACTAGGAAAAAAAATCATTCAAAGTTAAACTGTAAAATAACAGAAATCCTTTGTACAACACTACCTCATTGTAAACATGAATAAAACTTGGAAGGCAACTGAAAACAAAGGATGGTGGTTGTTCCCAGGATTCACAGTCCTCTGCTTTGTCACTGACTTTTCAACATCAGGAATTTACCATAAGAGAAACTTGTTTGTTGCTTTTTAGCATTGCTAGGAGATGTTTAATGATAGACTGTAACAAATATCTGTTCCTGCATGAAACAGAATGAGCAAATAGTCTGAATTTAATGTTCTCCCAGAAATCTATAAAACAAGGGGCTCAAACAGGGCTTTGATAGAATAATATATCAGTGCTTTGACATACTTGTATAGTCTAATTTTCTTATTCCCTACCCTTTTGAGCCAATATTTGTGTAACCCATTTGACAGCTCTGAACTGTTAATGAAATTAATGTATTAATTAAAGTTCTTATTTTTGTTGATATTAACTTAATCCTTTAATCACTTGCTTATGTGATGTCTTCTGGCTACCTGCTGTGTTCATGAGACGAATTATACAATAAAGTTATAAAGATGACTGTAAAAAAAAAAAAAAAAAGCCACTGGGATAAAAATTAATCATGTCTCCTTCAAAAACTGTAACAGTTGTCTTGATGGCTGTATATTGGGGAAACAATTGTATACTTTTTAATCACAGAAGTTTGAAAATGGTCAGGCAAGGAAACTTTCTTTGATCTTTAGGCAAAAGTGAAAGTAGATCTGGAGAGGTATTATTAAAGCAGTATACATAACTGTTAAAAATATAAACAGGCCATAGATCTTCAATGCACGTATTGCTAAATGAACGGTGTAAATGGTTCATAAGTAGGTAAAATGCCAGAAGTAGCTTTATCTTAATTTACTATATGGAGGAAACATGAAAGCAGCCACCTAGAATAGAAGTTACTACTTTCCTGTAAATGTACAGGAAAATTATTCGAGTTCTTCCAGCTTTACGAGTATTACAATGGAGTATGTGAATTAAGCAGTTAATAGAGAGACATTGACATTAATGTGAATAAAATGAAGGAGAAAAAAAAAAAGAAACTCTGGATGTTTTTATACTATTAACTTCCTTTTAAGAAATTGACATCATTATATAGGACGTTCTTATATTGGCTATATCTAAAAGCTACAGCTTACAGACAGTAGCTGGCTTGCATACTTGGCCTTGAGACAAAAATGTGAGTGGATACTAAAAATTAGCAAATGAGCTTATGTTTGTTTGTTTCAATCTTCAGATTTCCTTTTTAAGTTCTTGGTCATAGGAAATGCTGGAACTGGAAAATCCTGTTTACTACATCAGTTTATTGAGAAGAAATGTGAGTATATATGCATACAGTAAGAATTCTCTCTTACCTTGTACAACTGATGAAGGCTCTGTAAGAGTATTTTTAAGTGTAAGAGATGTGTGAATATCCGTTCTTTGCTTTGTACTGCTTTGTAGGGAAGTGCATATAACTCTCGTGTTTGGGTAGATGAGAATTTTGTCTGACAATTATGTTCAGAACCGTGCTGTAAATCCTTGTTGCAGTTTCCCTCTGATCAAAAGCTTGATGTTGAGCGGCACCTCGGTCATAGGTCAACTAAACATAACAGGGTGTTGTAGAAAAGACAGACTTTCTGTGAAAACTAAATTTTGCATTTATAATATTCTCCAGATAAATGATAGGCTCTTAAGCCTTCTGTAGAAATATTGAGCAGATGACAGAAAAAGCTGAATTGTTTGAATAGATTTGGAAAGCTTGTTGCACAGAATTCAGGTCTCCCAAAATCCAGTTGCTTTCAAAAATAGCTAGATACTCTGTGCTCTTCGTTAAATATCATGTCCTATGTTAAATACGTGGTGGACGCTCTGCTGTAGTATACTACATGTTATTTAGATACTGATAGATAGATAGGAAAGAAAATTTCCCTTTTCATAGTGAACTTAATATCATGATTAAACACAATTAATATGCATTTAGAAATGTTCTTAAATCCAGGGTGTCTGTTACTTTTCTCAGATATTGTTAATTTGTCTTATCTCTTGAGGGCCCTCTCTAGGATGATAATGTGTAATTGCCAAGGAACACTGTATGATCCTATAATTGAGCCGTGACCTTGCTGCTGAATAGGTGGTGTACATTGCTGAGAATCTTGTGATGTCAGCAACATGTGTAGAGCAAGTGCCTCAACTTCTTGCTTTAAAGAAGAAATATATTTTGCTTACTTGGGGGCAAGACTGGGTCTTTTCTTATGTTCTGCTTTTCCATTAATTGCAATTTTAAATTACGTCAGAGTATTAGAAAGTGCAGCTGAAAAAGATATGCAGAAGTTGTCCCATAATTTGTTAATGAAAGCAGGGAGTGATTTGATTAAGCTAGTAATAATTTTGAATTGAATAGGATGTTCAAAATATTTATTTCTGCATGGTGGCAGTAGACTTATGAATTGCATAGAAGTTTTTTGATCTTTCAGGAAGTAGTTTGAACACTGAAGAATTTTGATCCTACCTAAATTGGATTATGTAAAACTAATTATTCGCTCTAAATGTTCTTTAAATATTAAGTCTCTTTTTCTTTTTTTCTTCTTTTCTTTTTTTTTGTTAGTCAAAGATGACTCAAATCATACTATAGGAGTCGAATTTGGTTCAAAGATCATAAACGTCGGTGGTAAATATGTAAAATTGCAGATATGGGATACAGCAGGACAAGAGAGATTCAGGTGCCGTTTTCTTTCCTTTTATTAAATATTTTTTGTTGTTAAACTTGCATTGTGGGTGCTGGTTGATATTTATCTCTGCTTATGAATAGACACAGTTTCTGAGTCAGTGGAACTGTATGTCTGCTTTGTCGTTAACTAGGCCAGATCTTCCAAGTTGTGCAGATGTTGCCCAAATAACGGGCGTTATTTCAGTAACGTAGTGCTGACTTGTAGGAACTGAGCTTCTGCCCTTCTTTTCATTGAGTAAAGTATTTTGTGTAATAGTTAAGGTCTATGAGTAGAATACAAAGCTAAAAGTTTGTTCACTAGCCAAACTGATTTTTTTTTTTTAATTGGGGTGTATGTGCTTAACTTTGCTTAGCTCTTCTCTTGGTTGGAATAAGTAATCCCAGAAAGTTGTAAGCCAGTCAAAATCTGCATGAGAACACTTCATAGTATTATGTTATTTATTCAGAGGGAAAAATTTTGTGTTTGAGCTCACTTGGCTAAACACACTTGAAAGACTGAGATTTCTGGTTCCCTAAAAGAAAAAGTGTTTGACTTAAAATCACCAATGTACTTCTAACACTGTATCATACATCTGAGGCACAGCTAAAACTCAGTAGCTGAGATTTGATGCATTCCTGAGTACATTTGTCTCAGGGCTTCATGGTTTTGGACTGGAGGCTTGGGGGTTTTATTTGTTTTTGGCAGGAGGATGTTGATTGTCAGCAATGGTTAACAAGGGTGACTGTGGCGGTAGAAGTCTGGGTAATGGGCAGCTGAGTGGGCAGCAATCCAGATAAAACATTACCTCTCTCAGACAAATTTTGTTGGATACATACATAACTATGTAAAGCTAAGCAATGATGGATGATATCCTGTGACTCTGAGGAGACTGGAGGCTGCGTATTCTAGAGGTTCATGCAAATTATGCTATTTTAATTTCAAAGCATTCAGACTCTCACAGGTGGTTGGGGTGTTATTTCCTGTTGCTTTTTATAATGTATCTATAGTTATTTTCTTTTTAACGTGGATAATACCTCTATGTACTTAGTTGGTTTTTTCCTTCCTCTACCTACCTTTTGACAGTCACTTTCCTTACCTCTTTCTCTTCAACTCAGAGTCTTAAGTTGTAAAATGACAGCTACTCCACTCAGTCTCTGCTCGTCGCTGAGAATTCAAATATAAGTTACTTATGCTGTTTTGAAGCCACAGGTACAGCCATCGGCTCCCAGTTCTGTATCGGACCATGTAATACAATGATACGTGTACCTTTAGCAGCCCACAGGTCATAATGGACTGTGACAACCCCTGTATGGCTACATTTAGTGAAAGTGCTTCATCAGAAGTCTAGTTATAAATAGTTGCTGCTGTTGCGTAGCTGATTGTGTTGTCTAAATCCAAATGAAGTTATTTAATGTAACTTAAAACTTTTAAGAGTTGTTTGTCATAGTGTAGATTATGTTATCTCAGATTTGAAACAACGAAGATATTGCAGAAACCTACATCTAATTCTGTTGCAGGTCTGTAACAAGAAGTTACTACCGAGGTGCTGCAGGTGCTCTGCTTGTCTATGATATCACCAGGTAAAAAAGTTAACAACTTTTTTTAACGACTACTGGACACAGTTAAAAATATTTCTGTTTTAAACAAGGCATTCTTAAGTTTTTGGAGCTTACATGAGATGGCATGAAGTCCGCAGATGTAAACAGACTCAGAAAAGGATTAGACAAATACATGGGGACTGGCCCACCAGCAGCTGTTTTAATCATGACAGACTACATGCAGTACCACCACTGGCTCAGGAAGCTTTGCAACGACTGATTGTTGGAAACTGAATCAGTTTGGGAAGGATCACTATGCACATGTTGTTACACTGTTCTCCAAACATCCTTTACACTTGTGGTTTTGCTCAATTTCATAGCTTCAAAACAAATAATAATCTGACACTGACAGGATGCCACAGAAACCAAAAGTGGACTTTAGCCCCTTTTAACCTAGGAAGTACACTCCTCTTTGTGGAAAGTGCTTATTAGCATGCTGGTATAACAGGACATCCTTTAGAGAGGCTGGCTCTACCTACACGTTACTTAACTATAGCCATTCTATTTACAGCCTTTTTTTTTTTTTTTAAAGTATTATACTTCTTATGTTATACTCCACCAATGAAATGCCTTACCTTTACGCTTTCACAATTTTTTCTGGCCACCATTGGCTATGGTGATAGACTGGGATTTTTTTTTTTCTTTTTGCCTCTTCCTCTTGAGTGGACTCTTCTTCTTTGAGCGGTCTTTAATATTTGTGTTGTATATAAAAATCAGTTCAGTCTCATTTGTCAGTCTTACTGCTTGAGGGCTGTATCTCTGACCACCATTACAATGACTAATATGTACAGGTAACTAACTGCCTGTGATATCATGGGTCTTGACACAGAGGTGAAACTTCAGGACCGTGATTTTTCCGTAAGAGCAAGAATTTGTTATCATCCCCTTTAAAAGTTAAGTATCAGTTGAATTCCATGTTAACCCAATAACTCGGTCTGTTATCCCTAAATTTGATGCACGAGAGGTTGAAACTAGATGCCGTACTAGTGGTAGTTTAAAAGAGATCCCATTTGCAGAGACTTAGAGAGCTGCAACTGGGAGTTTTGTGTGTGTTTTAGTAAAGCATACCTCATAGGACCTAGTGTCTAGATTGGAATTTATTAATGAAAATGGTCATCTGATGAAAGAAATTGAGGCAGTGGAGCATTATGCCCCTCATTCTCAGAACATTCATAAAAACTGTGAGAAGTAAGCTGGAGGGAATTGCTTTCTAAAGGATCCAGTGTTAAAGTGCAGTGCTAGTACATCTCTTGGCTTTGATCTCCTGGCTAGTCTCTCTTGACGCACAAACTGCTGAGAATAAATTGAGTGCCTCTGTGGTTGACTTTAATTTTGCTTTTTAAAAACTGTAGCTTTTAAATAGTTTTATGAAGGAGCTTGATCCTCTTCCCAGTTTACAGCTGGCATATTTGAGATCTATAGCTGGCTTGTGTAGCAGCAATTTGTGGCTTGCTGCAAATGTAGACCCTGCCTTCTGAGTTCTAGTCCAGTCTGACTTCCTAGTCTGTTCACTAAAAATGCTTGTGCTCTAATAAAGGATGTTACTTTCTACCCAGCCGAGAGACCTACAATGCACTTACCAACTGGTTGACAGATGCAAGAATGTTAGCAAGTCAAAATATTGTGATAATACTGTGTGGAAACAAAAAGGATCTTGATGCAGATCGTGAAGTTACTTTTTTAGAAGCATCCCGGTTTGCACAAGAAAATGGTAAGTAGTACATAAGATCTTCATGTAACATTGGAAGATGCTTAATACTTAAAATGATTTATTGTGCAGCTACAGAATGATTTGTTTGCCCACTGTATCCTGTCAAATATCTACAGAGAAGAGTTCTGTCAGTACATGAAGCACAGAGGGAGAAAAGTGCTGGTAACAAGAACTACGTGTACTCTTCAGTTCCCTTTACCAGTGATTCTTCTAGCCACAGCTGCTCCTTAAAGCGTATCTTCTGTAGTTAGAAATATTCCTTAGTGAAAACATACAACTTTGGGCATTTGCACAAAGGCTGGAGAGAAAATGAAGAGCAATATTTTTCGAGTTCTCAGCTTCTTATAGATCTTGCAGATTATAGGGAAGATTGGATGTTGTTGTGCCACAGATAGAAGCAATGCATTTTACCTGTGGGAAAGTGAGTTTCAGGCATGGCACGGATCCAGAGGACTATTACATAGCCTATAGTATTCAGAATTTTCAGTCTTCGAGGGCACGTTTCTGTGGCGGCTAAAGCCAATCTCAGTCTGAGCTGTTGCGCTACAGTCTTTCCATCAGTAAAATCTCTTTTCAGTCTTATGTATTGGTTATAAATAGCCTTTTCCTTTATGTTTTTACTATGAATGCTGGCTGTCCTTTTGCATATCCTTTTCTATCAATGGAAAACTATATGGGGCTCTTTATTTAGTTTTATATGCTATTTCACATGCACAGCCCAGCTAAAAGCCTAGTTTGGATTCTCGCTTTCTAAGGAAAGTGTATACATTTCAGAGGAAATATATGTGATGTTGGTGAGAGGAGCTTGCTTTATTGTGAAAATGTTTTATGTTCTTATTTTTGCCTTCGGAACCTGATTTTCAGGACTAAATTGTCTGACAATTTTTCTCCTTAAGTTAAAGGAAAAAATGTATTGTTCCTGTAAATGTTCATGTTTCAATTACTCTATCAGAATATTTCAGACCTGACTTGACATTGTTTTTCTGCTGTCAAATGCAGAGCTGATGTTCTTGGAAACGAGTGCACTAACGGGGGAAAATGTTGAAGAGGCCTTTGTACAGTGTGCAAGAAAAATACTCAATAAAATTGAATCAGGTAAATTGAGATTTATATTCTGACTCTTAATGCTTTCTTTCCTGACAATTAAAATATACCTGAAATATCACCATTTAAAAGTTTATAATAGAATTAACCAAAATTTCACTGTAGTAAAATAGCCCTTTTGATTTACAGCCACTTCCCATATGTTTTAATAGAAATGAACGTTCAAGTCAGAACCTAAAGGGGAGGCGGGGGACAGAAATCTGTGGATGTTTTTTTCACAGCATATACCTTAATAGTCAACCCTGAGTGTAGGCTGCACATTCTGTGGGTTCCTATGTCCCTACAAACATAAAGCCTTTTAATATCAGGCTTTAGCAAAGCAGAATAAGAATGTATATCAGGGCACACACAACTTTTCATTCTGCTTCTCATATATAGCAGGGAAATACGGTCAAGAGAATTCAGACAACACTGAAAATGTCAGGGGTGTTTCCTAGCAACTATGTTTCTCTGAATTGACCTGCTTGAAACCATTTTGTTTTCTTTTGCAGATCTAGAAATATACTTTGTGTATAATTTTCTGTTATTATTTCTATAGAAATATGTATAGATTCTATACAATTGTTTTGATTTCTGAGCTACTCAGTGCAAGTGGGCCGGTTTCTATCGGAAACAAGCTCCTAAGTGCTCAGATGGTGTCATTAGAATTAATCTGCATTCCAGTTTCTCTTATTTTCTAGTTACTTGGTATCTCTATAGTTTTAATAAATTGCTATTTTGAAGTCTGCCTGATAGAAACATTTTGAATGCCAAATTAAAAAAAAAAAAAAATTAAGAGATTAAGAGACATGAAGATCTTATGGTAATTCCCTGGTTACTCCACCAAATCAAGTGCCAAACAAAACCTTTAATTGTAAGCAAGAGGGAAAAGTTTAGCTAGGTTCTCATGATCCTGTAGTTCAATGAGTGGTTTAAAGAGGCATTACTAAGACAGCAGTACGTACTGCCTTCTGCAGACTGCTTGTCCCCTCCCTTGTGGCAGTAGACAGCCGTAGAATCATGGAAAAACTGAGAGTGGAAAAGACCTCTGGAGGTTGCTAGTCTGGCCTCCTGCTCATTTCCCTCATGTTCATTCAGAAATTCCCTTTTGACAGCTTGTAGTTGTTGCTTGTCCTGTTATTGTGCATTTCTGAGTGCAGTCTGGCTCTAGTCTTTAAACCTCCACCTGCTTTTAGGCTCCCTCTTAGCCTTCTCTTCTCCAGGCTAGACAAACCAAGCTCCCTTAGCCTCTGCTTGAATCTAACTGTTAGGTAAGGGGCAAAGCTGCTGCAGCTTCATGTCCTCAGGTTCAACCAGTAGAGAAGGTATTCCCAGTAAGCATGTGCGCAAACAGGCATATACAACATTATATTTTCTTTCTAAAATATGTGAGTGTGTGCATATATATAAATATTTTATATATGCATATAAATATATAAAAAATCTACATACATGTGTACACACAATATATATTTGTGTGTGCACATATGCATGTACACACGCACAGAGCCACAGCCGCACAGATCAACACAGACGGACGTATTCAACAGTCACGCAGACAGCACAAACAGCCTCACCCTGTTGCCCTCTCCAGCTGATCAGAAGGAAGGTCTTTTAGTGGGATATACATATGGATGCCTCCAGCAGCTGGCCTTTGACACTCAGTCCACCCAGTAGCTGGACCCTCAGTCCCTTGTTTCCCCAGTAGCTGCCCTTGGACATACAGGCCCCTGACACTGCAGCTGCACTCCAGTTATGAGTACAGGCCCCCAACCTTGCACACACTGTGGATCCCTCCAGCAGCTGGCCTTCAACATGCAGTCAAGCCAGTAGCTGATCTTGTATCCTCACTCTTCCAGGTGCCTCACAGAGAAAGACAGAGACACAGATGGGTGGTGTTTGATACCTAGACCCATGATCTCTCTGGCAGTTGGCTGGGACTTCCCTAGGCCACCTGTTAGCTAGCTCCCCTGTAGCCTTGCCTTTAGGGGGACACAGCACATGTGGGTCTCCCAGCTGACATGCTCTGGACCCTATGGTCCCTCTGGCAGGGGACTGGGACTCCCCTGGTCCCTTTGGTAGCCAGCTATTCCTGTGGTCTTGCCCTTAGAGACCCACACGTGTAACTGGCTCCCAGATCACTTCAGCTACATGCCTGCTAGTCCAGTTTGATGCTAGCTAGCAATCATCACTTGCACACCCTCACTTGCTCCAGTTGCAGGTAGCACAGACATATGGGTCTTCTGAGGGGTGGTCTGACTCCTGCTGCTGGCACTTAGACCTCCCTCCCACCCCTGCACACAGAATAGAGAGTCCTTCACCAAGTAGGACAGTTAGAAAGGAATTTAATAAGACGATAGGGCAGACTGCACTGATGAGATGCAGAGCAGACAAGTGTATTGACCAGTGCTGTTCATGTGCAACCAATCCCTTTTTATTCCCTTATCCGTGCAAGTGTAGTTTCCCACACTTGTTCCTCCCTAAATTGCCTGGATTCTCTCCCTTTCTCTGTCTTTAGTTGTTCCCCTAAACATCCCATAGTAAATCTTGCACAATCCAGAAATGCTCTTCCCCTGCATCCCACAATGTGTCCCATGCCCCAAAGCAGTAACTCCTCTCAGTCCAAAAGAGCTCCTGTTGACTCATTGTGCTGGGTTTCACCATGGCCCACCGGGGGGGGGAGGGGGGGCTGATCTCCTGGGACAGCCCTGGGAAGAGTGGGACAGAGTGCCTGTTTTCTCAGTAAGTAATTTGGGTTCCCCACCTGCCATTGTGCCTCTGTGCTCCTCTAGATGCTCCTCTGTGTCTCTTGTGGAAATGAGCTCTTGATGGGCTGATTGCTCTCCAGTTAGACCTGGGAGTAGTTGGGCCAGGGTGTTATTTGGTTCCCTGCCTGCCATTGTGTCTCTGTGCTCTTTTGCGCTTGTGGAGAGGAACTTTTATTTTTTTTTAACCACGTGACTTAACAGTAATGTGCTTCAGCCTCTAACTGCCTTAATGTTCAGCCTTCTGCTGAAATCTCTCCAATTTTCTCTTCTGTACTGGAGAACCCACAATTGAACACAATACTCTTTCTCAAATGCCAAGTAGAGGAAAATAATCACTTTTCTCAGCTTTTCTCTGCTGGCTACACCCTTGCTATCGCAGCCCAATGTGGTGTTAGCTCTCATGGCCACAACCACATGCTACAGCCTCATGGTCAGCTTGTCCATCAGGACCACTACCCCACCTCCCCACCCCAGTCCCAGGTCCTTTTTTGCAGAGCTGCTTATTACCTGGTCAGTACCTGGCCTGTACCAGTGCTTAGGGTTGTTCCCTTGAAGATGCAGGGCTTTGCATGTGTAGGACTGAATGTCACAAGGTTCTTGGTTGCCTGTTCCTCCAGCCTTTGAAGGGCTTTCTGAATGGCAACCCTGCCCTCCAGCTATCAACTGCTCCCCTCAGTGCAGTGTTAGCTGCGAGCTTACTGAGGGTGCGCGTGTGTGTAGCTAACCCAAGTGATCTGTATTGGAGGAATTTTTCTACTTTTTAATTGAATAGTTCTAACCTTGGCCAGTTCACTATGTAGCTGTAAGAACATTTCTGAAGGCACAGGGTATGGAGTAACCAAGTTACAGAAGTGACTAGCAGAAGCAGGGAAGGTTGAGCCCATTTCCTCCAACACCAGTGCGTTACAGACTCCTCCTGTCAGATTGATCCATTTTTGTTTGGCTTGATATTTACAGTACTTCTTTCTTTGCAAATTAATCTCTGAAACCAGGTATCTTTTAATTTGAAAAAGGGGTTGCAGATGTTTTAGACGTTTCCTTTGTTAGAAGTAGTTAGTGCAAAAAGATTTCTTTTTTTGTTGCAGCCTAACTCAGAGACAACAGCTTTGTCATTACGATTAAGGGTAAACAGTGGAAATTACTAGAGAAAATGGTACAGGTTTGGCATTGCCTAAAGACAAACAGAATTGCAGTAGCTCTCTTCATCACTAGAGCAGAATATCATTATGTGATTGTGTCTGATGTTGTCTTTTAACTTAGATTATATTATTTTATAAGTAAGCCATCATCTGTGAACATTTTGTTTCTCATCAGGAGAACTAGATCCAGAAAGAATGGGCTCAGGTATTCAGTATGGAGATGCTGCCTTGAGACAGCTGAGATCACCACGAAGAGCACAAGCAGAAAGTGCTCAGGAATGTGGATGTTAAAGAAACAAAACATGAAAAATCCCAAATACTGATTTTAGATACAAAAGGTAAGGTTACAAAATCTTGGGGCATTTAGTAGATTACCCTAGTTCATAAACATGCTGTTTCAGCTGCTTGGCTTTTCCACAGTTAGCCTGTAAAATATATAGAAGCTAGTGAAGTAGTGCACAGTAGAATTGAATTTTTTTATACTTGATTTTTCTTCTACCATCTACCCAATAAAGGAAGACTAATAGTCTTTCTAAATATTTAGGGTTTTTATTTATTCTGAGTAATGCTAGCAAAAACATTTTAAAAGTCTGTATCCCTGAAAGGCATTATACGCTTAATAGTTACCTAATGCCCTGAAGATAAGGCGAATCCATGATATCGTGGGAAATAATTACTGGGAATAAGAAGTCACAAAATGTATGGTATGGTATAGTATATTGCACCAGAATCTTGTTAAAAGCTATTGTATAGTCTCTTCTGAAAATAAGAAGTTTAAAGACTAAGTGACTTGAAAATTAAAGGTAGTATTGGATTCCAAACTTCCACTGATTGTTTCGTGGCCTTAAAATGAAAAACAGCCCAGAGTAGTTCCCATTCCTGACTGCCATGAGCAGAAATGTCGACAAAAGAATAGTAACAGTCACTGCTTAAGCAGTGTTGCTATTTCAAGCAGCTCCCTAGGACTGCTGCAGCCTGTAGCATGGGAGTGCTGTCTTCTACAGACACCCAAAAGAGCAAGTGAGGAACAGATGATTATTTTTTTCCCTTTAGCAGTAGTAGGTGAAAAGAGTTAAAAGTCACATAATCTACTCCCTAAAACAGCCTGGTGTTAGTCTTTCTCATAAGCACTTGTCCTTCTTAGACACCTTTCAGTTTTTAGGAATGTTACTTAACTCCTTGCAGTATGTAAATAGATACAACCGTCCTTTCTCCTTCGGTCAATAATGAAGGTAATTAAGGAATTGGTGTGTAGTTATTCTGACATCACTAATCCTCACTTCTCTAACAAATGAGGGCAGAGATAGCAAACTAAACTAGTACTGAAAGCATAGGTATTACATTATTTTCACTGTGTTCACAGTGCACACCATGTTACTGAAACTGCCAGCAGAAACTTTATAGAACATTAAATAAAGCTGCATTCAGTTCTGTAATCTCACCTTTTGTTCTTCGTGTATTCTGGGAATTTAGCTCCCAATTAAAGCTCAGAATTTTAAATAATGCGTAAGGATCTTCAAACCACTTTCCTCCCATTTTCCTTATATAAAATATCATCCTTCAGTGAAAAGACTGGTAAAAATGGTATGCATTTAGTCTGACTCTGTTATGACTGTACAGAAGAAATTGTTCACTTGATCTTATTTCAGGAGTTGAGTTTTAAGATTGATCAGATGTACATAAGTGATGGAGCTCTTGTATTTTCAGCTGTCCATGCAAATAGTGTTTGAAGAAACAGACAAAGTTTGAAGGCTATGCAGTTTTTTTTTTAAACATCTTCCAACTGTCTATAAACAGGAGCAGACCACTGCTGACAAAGAGAGATGTGTAATGTGATGCAGGAATGTGCGCATGACACAAAAGACTGCAAAACAAACCCGATAATTTGGTGGACAATGTTCAGGCTCATATCTGTATGTAAACATTTTCCATTACCCATTTTTGTTCCTTCACCTTTAGTTTAAAGCATTGCTCTGTACTGTATATAATGTAACAGTAAATTTACAAAGCATGGTATACTTATATATGATGATAGAATGTTGCACTACAAGCAGTTTAATATTTTATTTTTTTTATCGTATAAACTAAAATTTAACTGAGGTAGGCTTTATCATGTTTGTTTGTTGCACAATAGGTTATATTTATTACCCGAATTATAAAGCCACTGGCATTGACTGTCAGTGATGGAAGGTAGGCTTTATCATGTTTGTTTGTTGCACAATAGGTTATATTTATTACCCGAATTATAAAGCCACTGGCATTGACTGTCAGTGATGGATTTTTTTTTTTCCTTAGTTGCCACGTTCTGCAAGCTGTTTACATGACTAATACTCAATACATGGTTAGGACCCTTACTTATGTTTACTAATATGTCAATTTGGAAAGCACATTTTTATTGATGTGCACCTATCCTGCTTTCTCACAATTCTTAATTATCTTTCAAAGGTCTTTTATCAAACTTTAAAGGTTTAGAAAAAAATACTTCTAAGTATCAAATGGCTGTTGACTACTTGGATTTTGGATTTTTTTGTTTTCTTGGCCTGAATATTTTGTATAGCACTGGTGTCACGAAAATAGTAGTTATGTGTGAATGGAACTGTGCATCTTCTGTTTGTTTGTAATGGTAGCCCAGGGCACGGTCTTACAGAAAAAGATCATCGTAAAGGTTCTCTTAAGCTCTTATTACTAGCAAAGCAATCAGCTATGGAAAAAAGACTTCTGCTGAAAGCATACCTGGTGAGGTACAAACTGAACCTAAGTGGGCTCTTCCAAAGTATGCTGAATGTAAGAAACTGACTTAAACTATCAATTTATTGGGTTTTAAACATTCCTAAAGTAAAACTAAGAGCTTGAAATCTTAAAATTAGACTTTACATTTGGGAATTTATACTCTATCTTGCTGGAGCGCTTGTCTTTGAACTTTGTGAGTGCACTCTGTGTAGCGCTGTCCACATTGCCCAGAGCAGATTCACATAATGGAGGTGGGGGGAAGTAAGCTCACTACTTAGGTAGTTCTTTCTTGCCTTGAAACTCATCAAGGGGACTTTCAGCCTTAGTATTGATTTTTAATATGCTAAAACATGCAACTTGGACTTCACTACTACCCTCTTTCTGTGGAAATCCTGTCCTCGTTGCTCTGCTGGAGAGAGAAGAGGAGGACTTGCAGAGGTTCAAGAGGGAGTCTGGAACCACAAGCATTGCATATCATTCTTATAGCGCCATGACAATTGATCAAAGAGGAGATCTGTGGCTTTTGTACTGCCAGACAAGGAACTGTGGAATTAAGTACAGTGGTTCTGGTGGTATCTGAATGCGATCTAGGAAAGAAATTGGCGGGGGGAAGGCAGGGCCAGCATAGTTGCACTGATGGAAGTCACTTGTGACTTTTATTTTTACTTAATTACTTGTACAACTAGAAAGTGGATGTCTACTTGGAAATGCAAGTTAACACAGAAAACAGATTTGATGAGCACCTACTATTGAAATCCCAAGGGCAAATGTGCTTTATTATTTTCTGTATAGGAATCTTTTCTATTTAGGGGACACTTGCCAAATGAACATTTAGAAACTAAAATGCAACTGATGCTGTAAGTCAGAGGGCAGTCACAGCACAAAAGCAAGGCAAGAATGCTACAGACAGGTATACCAACCATCTTTTGTGGAATTGTGTTTAAAAATATTCCCTTTGTCCTGACATTTTTGGTTCAAATGGATGCTTCTCTAAAAGTTACACAGTTGAGTCATCTCTAAATTCCAAGTGTAAAGAATTAACCTAGGCTTTTCCAGTACAAAGCAAATTTAAGTCTTTTTAAGACTGTTGGGTCCAAAGAATCATATAGCTCTCTGTTGCCTAGCTCATGCAAGATTGGATTTGTTACATAATTGATAATTATTCTAAAGGATCATAAAGTGTTTTTGAAGCAGCTTAATCTGACACAGGAACTTACCTGTCTTAATCCTCTTTCAAGTGATTTGTTTCCACTACCCAAAGCTGGAAGTAATTACCAAAAAGCAAGTCCACTGAGGTAGATATTGGATGTAGCTACCTCCTCCATCAACCCAAATAGCATAACATGCAATGAGTTATGTGCTATTTCTGCCAGAGTTTGGGGGGAGTTTCTAAAACCTCATACCAATTCTGGAATTCTAGAAAAATGAGATATCAGTGAGTCTGTTTTTCCCCCCTTCTCATAATTTAATCAAAATTCTTTGTACACTGATAAAAGTTAGAGCTGAGCATTTATCAGCTCTGACATAGCACAAGTAAAGGTCTCTCTTCTGTCACTATTACCACGCTTGAAGTGGAGTTGGCTTTTGATCCAAACTTCTTTCCCTTGTTCCACTAGCAGTTTAAAGGCAGGGGAAGGACTATTTAATTCTGTTACTTTTCTTTCAGCAGTGCATTGTTTAAATCTTAGGGGTTTTGCAGTGTTTTTTTTTTCCTTTTGTTTTTACACTCACCTTTTTCATTATCTAGAAGACTGGCCTCTTGTTCATATTAGCTCTGATCATTTTGATAAGTTTCAGGGGTTAAGAAACAGCAAGCACAATTCCATTTTTTTTCTGTAACCAGTTCTGTTAAGCTCTCCTCTTCCCACCAGGAAAGAAGGAATAACTTCATTATAAGGCATTTTGGCATAGTTTCTACTTTGTTTTCTTTTTTTTTTTTTTTAAATAAGTGCACCCTTATGCTATTAGTACATATAAAACAGGTTAATGTAAATGCTTTGTAAACTGTTACAGCCTTTTATGCTGCATATCTTACTATAACAAAAAAATTTCTAACATAGCAACTGTTGAGTGAAAGACTATTAGAAGAAATAGTAAGCAATGTATTATGCTGAGAGCTATTTCTCCTATGAGAGTTTTATATTTCTAAAAATAAACATCATTCATGCCAGCAGCAGCCCTGAGGTAGGTTTTCAACTTTGTTACAGTTTGTGTGATAAACCAAACCCTAGCTCACCTAGATATCAAGTGGTAAATATTTAACCCATGAATGTTTTTAGTGTACAGTGAAGTTCTTACTCTACCAAAGCAAGATGGCTTAGGGTTTTAACATAACAGACACCTAAATCTTCTAGGATTGAGTGGTTGTGAGCTTTAAAAGGTTTAAATGTCACA